CCAGCCTGGCCATTCCCAGCTCTCCCAGCCTGGAGCCAGAGCCTGACATTGGATCCATCCCCAGCCCAACTCCTCTCTGGGAAGGAGTTCCGGGAACAAGGGGGGGTTCCCTGGGAATCTCGGCACTCAGGGAAGGGGCTCCCTTCCCCTTTCCCGCCTTTTTCCATCCCCACATTCCATAAAAACCCCGCTCTGGGTGGTGTCCTTTTCCCCAGGGAAGATCATCTCCATCGACACGAGCTCCCTGCGCGCCGCGGGCCGGACGGGGTGGGAGGATCTGGTCCGGAAATGCATTTACGCCTTTTTCCAGCCCCAGGGCCGGGAACCCTCCTACGCCAAGCAGCTCTTCCAGGAAGGTAACGGGATCCTCGGGAATCCCAGCCTGGAATGTTGTTTTTCCCCCCCCTGGGAGGGGCTTGGGAAGGCTCCCGAGGTGGGAGGTTCCACGGGGTTTTTCCCCCCCAACCCACCCCGTGGGATAACGAGGCCCAAAAAGGAGGGGGGGGGAGGGTTGTGGGATCAGGGATTGGGTTTTCCAGGGATTTGGGCAGTGTGGAAGGAGGGGATTCCCCGTGGGATAACAGGGCCCAAGGTTGTGGGATCAGGGATTGGGTTTTCCAGGGGGTTATGAGGTGATTTATCCCGGATTTTCCCTGTGGGATAACACAGCCCAAGGGGGTGTTGTGGGATCAGGGATTGGGTTTTCCAGAGGGGATTTATCCCGGGTTTTCCCTGTGGGATAACACATCCCAAGGGGGTGTTTTGGGATCAGGGATTGGGTTTTCCAAGGGGGAGTTGGGAAAAGCTTTGGGAAGAGCCAGGCTGTGGGAATAAATCCCCTGGGAATATTTGTGATGCTGTGGGGTCAGACCCTGATCCTGATCATCCCAGGGCTGATATTTTGGGATTTTGGAGTCCCCCCCAGTGGTGACTTTGGATTGCTCTGGATATCCATGGAGAGCTTGTGCAGGGCTGGAAAATTGGCTCCCAGGGGTTTTTGGGAAGAGCCAGGCTGTGGGAATCAATCCCTGGGAATATTTGTGATGCTGTGGGATCAGACCCTGATCCTGATCATCCCAGGGCTGATATTTTGGAATTTTGGAGTCCCCCCAGTAGTGATTGAGGGTTACCCTGCACATCCAGGAAATGTTCTGGAAGGATGGAAAATTGGCTCCCAGAGGTTTTTGGGAAGAGCCAGGCTGTGGGAATCAATCCCTGGGAATGGTCTGTGTTGCTGTGGGATCAAACCCAGCTCCTGATCATCCCAGGGCTGATATTTTGGGATTTTTGTGGGTTCTCTGAGGATTGCCCCTGGATATCCATGGAGAGGTTGTGGATGGATGGAAAATTGGCTCCCAGGAGTTTTTGGGAAGAGCCAGGCTGTGGGAATCAATCCCTGAGAATGGTCTGTGTTGCTGAGGGGTCAGACCCTGATCCTGACCATCCCAGGGCTGATATTTTGGGATTTTGGTGTCCCCCAAGTGGTGACTGGGGATTGCTCTGCACATCCAGGAAATGTTTGGGAGGGCTGGAAAATTGGCTCCCAGAGGTTTTTGGGAAGAGCCAGGCTGTGGGAATCAATCCCTGGGAATGGTTTGTGTTGTTGTGGGGTCAGACCCAGCTCCTGATCATCCCAGGGCTGATATTTTGGGATTTTTGTGGGTTCTCTGAGGATTGCCCCTGGATATCCATGGAGAGGTTGTGGATGGATGGAAAATTGGCTCCCAGAGATTTTAGGGAAGAGCCAGGCTCTGGGAATAAATCCCCTGGGAATGGTTTGTGGTGCTGTGGGGTCAGACCCTGATCCTGATCATCCCAGAGATGAGATTTGGGATTTTGGAGTCCCCCAAGTGGTGACTGGGGATTGCTCTGCACATCCAGGAAATGTTTGGGAGGGCTGGAAAATTGGCTCCCAGGGGTTTTAGGGAAAAGCCAGGCTGTGGGAATAAATCCCCTGGGAATGTCTGTGTTGCTGTGGGGTCAGACCCAGCTCCTGACCATCCCAGGGCTGATATTTTGGGATTTTGGTGTCCCCCCAGTGGTGATTGAGGGTTACCCTGCACATCCAGGAAATGTTCTGGAAGGATGGAAAATTGGCTCCCAGAGGTTTTTGGGAAGAGCCAGGCTGTGGGAATCAATCCCTGGGAATGTCTGTGTTGCTATGGGGTCAGACCCTGATCCTGATCATCCCAGGGCTGATATTTTGGGATTTTGGTGTCCCCCCAGTGGTGATTGAGGGTTGCTCTGCACATCCAGGAAATGCTCTGGAGGGCTGGAAAATTGGCTCCCAGAGGTTTTTGGGAAGAGCCAGGCTGTGGGAATAAATCCCCTGGGAACATTTGTGATGCTGAGGGGTCAGACCCTGATCCTGATCATCCCAGGGCTGATATTTTGGGATTTTGGAGTCCCCCCAGTGGTGATTGAGGATTGCTGTGGTTTTCCATGGGGAGGTTGTGCAGGGCTGGAAAATTGGCTCCCAGGGGTTTTTGGGAAGAGCCAGGCTGTGGGAATCAATCCCTGGGAATGGTCTGTGTTGCTGTGGGATCAAACCCAGCTCCTGATCATCCCAGGGCTGATATTTTGGGATTTTTGTGGGTTCTCTGAGGATTGCCCCTGGATATCCATGGAGAGGTTGTGGATGGATGGAAAATTTGCTCTCAGGGGTTTTAGGGAAAAGCCAGGCTGTGGGAATAAATCCCTGGGAATGGTCTGTGGTGCTGTGGGGTCAGACCCTGATCCTGATCATCCCAGAGATGAGATTTGGGATTTTGGAGTCCCCCAAGTGGTGACTGGGGATTGCTCTGCACATCCAGGAAATGTTTGGGAGGGCTGGAAAATTGGCTCCCAGGGGTTTTAGGGAAGAGCCAGGCTGTGGGAATCCATCCCAGGGGAAGGTTTGTGGTGCTGTGGGATCAGACCCTGATCCTGATCATCCCAGGGCTGATATTTTGGGATTTTGGTGTCCCCCCAGTGATGATGGGGATTGCCCTGTTGAGGTTCTGGAGGGCTGGAAAATCGGCTCCCAGGGGTTTTAGGGAAGAGCCAGGCTGTGGGAATCCATCCCCTGGGAATGTCTGTGTTGTTGTGGGGTCAGATCCAGCTCCTGATCATCCCAGGGCTGATATTTTGGGGTATTTTTGTGTCCCTCCCCCCCCAGCTATGACGGGGATTGCTCTGCCCATCAGAACATCAGCCCGTTGGCTCCCAGGGGTTTTAGGGAAGAGCCAGGCTGTGGGAATCCATCCCAGGGAATGGTCTGTGATGCTGTAGGATCAAACCCCGCTCCCAGGGGTGCCATTTTGGGGTGTTTTTGTGTGTTTCCCCCCCCTCCCCCCCCGTAGTGATGACCCGCGGCGCCGCCTTCAGCCCCTCGTACCGGTTCACGCTGAGCGACGGCACCGTGCTGAGCGCCCACACCAAGTGCAAGCTCTGCTACCCCTCCAGCCCCGAGCTGCAGCCCTTCATCATGGGCATCCACGTCATCGACAGGTAACGCCTGCCCGCTGCCCTCTGCCATCGCCCCAGCCCGCCTTTGCCCGCTCCGGAGGGACCCGTGCCACTCCCAAATTAACCCCCCCACCATCACCGGGCTCTGGAAGCTTTGGGAGACCCTCCCAGTGCCCAGCTCTTCCCAAAATCCATCCTAAACCCGCCCTGGCTCAGCTCCAACTGCTCCCTCTGATCCCACATGGATCAATGTCCCTGGGAATCCCGCCCTCCTGGGAATTTGTATCCGACTCTCCGGCACCACCCGTTGGATTCCCAAACCACCACCCCACCTCCCCGAGCTCCGGAAGCTTTGGGAGACCCAACTTTTCCCAAAATCCATCCTAAACCCGCCCTCCAGCTGCTCCCTCCGATCCCACATGGATCGGTGTCCCAGGGAATCCCGCCCTCCTGGGAATTTGTATCCGACTCTCCGGCACCGCCCATCGGACTCCCAACCCAACCACTCCCATCCCGAGTTCTGGAAGCCTTTGGAGACCATCCCAGTGCCCAGCTTTTCCCAAAATCCATCCTAAACCCGCCCTGGCTGAGCTCCAGCTGCTCCCTCTGATCCCACATGGATCAATGTCCATCCCTCCTCTTCCCACTCCCGGGAATTTGTATCCAACTCTCCGGCACCGTCCGTTGGGATTCCCAAACCACCACCCCACTCCCCGAGCTCTGGAAGCTTTGGGAGACGCTCCCAGTGCCCAGCTCTTCCCAAAATCCATCCTAAACCCGCCCTGGCTCAGCTCCAGCTGCTCCTTCCTATCCCACATGGATCAATGTCCATCCCTCCTCTTCCCACTCCCGGGAATTTGTATCCGACTCTCCGGCACCGCCCGTTGAATTCCCAAACCACCACCCCCCTCCCCGAGCTCTGGAAGCCTTGGGAGGCCATCCCAGCGCCCAGCTTTTCCCAAAATCCATCCTAAACCCGCCCTCCAGCTGCTCCCTCTGATCCCACATGGATCTGTGTCCATCCCTCCTCTTCCCACTCCCAGGAATTTGTATCCAACTCTCCGGCACCGCCCGTTGGGATTCCCAAACCACCACCCCACTCCCCGAGCTCTGGAGGCTTTGGGAGACGCTCCCAGTGCCCAACTTTTCCCAAAATCCATCCTAAACCCGCCCTCCAGCTACTCCCTCCGATCCCACCCATGGATCTGTGTCCCTCCTCTTCCCACTCCCGGGAATTTGTATCCGACTCTCCGGCACCATCCGTTGGGATTCCCAACCCAACCCCCCACTCCCCGAGCTCTGGAAGCCTTTGGAGACCATCCCAGTGCCCAGCTCTTCCCAAAATCCATCCTAAACCCGCCCTCCAGCTGCTCCCTCCGATCCCATATGGATCAGTGTCCCTGGGAATCCCGCCCTCCTGGGAATTTGTATCCGACTCTCCGGCACTGCCCATTGGACTCCCAACCCAACCACTCCCATCCCGAGCTCTGGAAGCTTTGGAGACCCTCCCAGTGCCCAGTTTTTCCCAAAATCCATCCTAAACCCGCCCTCCAGCTGCTCCCTCCGATCCCACACATGGATCAGTGTCCATCCTCTTCCCACTCCCGGGAATTCGTATCCGACTCTGCCCGTTCCCTCTGATGGGAAGAGGATCCACCTGGAGCTGGTTTGGAACCGGGAGTGGGATCCCAGCGGGAAACCCGAGGCTCGGAGCAGCTTCCCAGCTCCTGCTTCTTATCCCTGGATTTTTGTTTTTAGCTCAGGGAAAAGAGCTTCCCATTCCTGGGGGGGGGGGGGGGAAGGGAGGGATTATTTTGGGAAGAGGGACACAGGGACATGGGTGTGGCTTCCTGGGAAGATGGGAAAAGGGGCTGGAATGTTGGGGTTGGTTTGATCAGCCCCTGGAACGCCACATTTTTTGGGAATGGCTGCCGGGAATGGCCGAAGGGAAGATCCTGTGAGCCCCTGGAACGCCACATTTTTTTGGGAATTGCTGCTGGGCAGATCCTGTGAGCCCCTGGAACGCCACATTTTTTTGGGAATTGCTGCTGGAAGATCCTGTGAGCCCCTGGAATGCCACATTTTTTGGGGGGAATGGCCGCAGGGAAGATCCTGTGAGCCCCTGGAACACACATTTTTTTGGGAATGGCTGCAGGGAAGATCCTGTGAGCCCCTGGAACGCCACATTTTTTTGGGAATTGCTGCTGGGCAGATCCTGTGAGCCCCTGGAACGCCACATTTTTTTGGGAATTGCTGCTGGGCAGATCCTGTGAGCCCCTGGAATGCCACATTTTTTGGGAATTGCTGCCGGGAATGGCCACAGGGAAGATGCTGTGAGCCCCTGGAACGCCACATTTTTTGGGAATTGCTGCCGGGAATGGCCGCAGGGAAGATCCTGTGAGGCCCTGGAACACACATTTTTTGGGAATGGCTGCTGGAAAGATCCTGTGAGCCCTTGGAACGCCACATTTTTTGGGAATTGCTGCTGGAATGGCCACAGGGAAGATCCTGTGAGCCCCTGGAACGCCACATTTTTTTGGGAATTGCTGCTGGGCAGATCCTGTGAGCCCCTGGAATGCCACATTTTTTGGGAATTGCTGCTGGAATGGCCGCAGGGAAGATCCTGTGAGCCCCTGGAACGCCACATTTTTTTGGGAATGGCCGCAGGGAAGATGCTGTGAGCCCCTGGAACCCCACATTTTTTTGGGAATGGCTGTAGGGAAGATCCTGTGAGCCACTGGAATGCCACATTTTTGGGGAATGGCTGTAGGGAAGATCCTGTGAGCCCTTGGAACGCCACATTTTTTGGGAATGGCCTCAGGGAAGATCCTGTGAGCCCTTGGAACGCCACATTTTTTGGGAATGGCCGCAGGGAAGATCCTGTGAGCCCCTGGAACACACAGTTTTTTTGGGAATTGCTGCCTGGGGATGGCTCCCGAGAGGAACACCCCGGAGCTCGGGAATGAATCCCCCCTTTCCCTCTCTTTCTTTGCAGGGATCACGGGATGCTCCCCCCTCAGGACGCCCCTTCCTCGGCCCTGCCGCGCCTCAGCCCCGCCATCAGCACCCCCCCCGCGGGCTCTCCGGGGCTGCCTCCCCCCATCCCCAACTCCAACGGCACCGGCGCCTTCGGATGCTCCCCGGGAGGCCAAATGGGAGCGGCGGGCCCCTTGAACCAAGGACAGGGAGCCAACCCCGCCCTGGGCAGCCCCGCCATCGGCCCCTCCCAGGCACCGCCACCGCAATTCCTGTCCCCGCGCCACCGCCTCAGCCCCGGAGCCGTGCCCCGCGCCAGAGGGCCCCCCAACCCCCTTCCCAACCCCCTTCCCAACGCCATTCCCAACGCCAACCCCAACCCCAGCCCGTTCTCCCCCGCCGGGCACTCCCCGGTGGGCGGTGGGGGGGGCGGTGGGAGCGGTGCCCGCCCCTTCCCCGCCGGTCCCGGTCCCGGTCCCGGTCCCGGCGCCGTCAGCTCGGCGCTGCCCGAGGGGCCCGTGGGTTATTCCACGCCGCCACCACCGGCACCAGCAGCAGCGCTGAGGCAGCTGGGCGGCTCGCAGGGCTCCCCCGGCCGCCTGCCCGGCAAGGCCGAGCCCAGGGAGGGCAGGGATGACGCCCCTGGGGACACCGAGGGCAAAGGGGCGGCGGATCCGGGAGCGCCGCGCCTCGATGGCGATCCCAAGTGCCCACCGGGATCGGGACCGGGATCGGGATCGGGATCGGCGCCCCACAAGCTGGTGCAGCTGCTGGCCAGCACGGCCGAGCAGCAGCTGCGGCTGGCCGATGCCGACACCAGCTGCAAGGACCCGCTGGTGCTGGGAACCGGGAATGCTGGAACCGCCGCCGGCTCCATCGTCACCGGGACGTGCCCGTCCTCCCACAGCTCCCTGACGGAGCGGCACAAGATCCTGCACCGGCTGCTGCAGGAGGGCAGCCCCTCCGACATCAGCGCGCTGGGCAGCGCCGAGCACGACAAGAAGGAGAGCTCGGGCGTTCCCGGTGCTGCTCCCGTTCCCGGCGGTGCTCCCGTTCCCGCCGGTGCTCCCGGTGGTGCTCCCGGTGGCGATGCCGAGGCGCTGAAGAAGAAGGAGGCCAAGGACCACCAGCTGCTGAGGTACCTGCTGGACAAGGACGAGAAGGAGCTCGGCCTGGACGAGGGGAAGGTGAAGGTGGAGAAGGCGGAGCCGGCAGAGCCCTGCGGGGCCGCGCCCGCCGCCGGCCCCGGGACATCGGCGGTGCTGGGAGAGGAGGGCAAGGTGGACACCCAGGGGCAGGTGAGACGATGGA